TAAAGGAGTTACCCCTCTCACAAGCCAATTTTACTTGGTCTAATTTCCAAGAAAACCGTCTTTGCTCGAAATTAGACAGATTCCTCTTTAATGAAGAGTGGGAGAACCATTGGAGGAACCTGATGGCTAGAGCCTTATCCAGAGTCATTTCTGATCACTGCCTTATCCGGTTAAGTCTTGAAACACTAGCCCTTGGTCCACAACTGTTTAGATTTGAGAATATGTGGTTGACTCACTTGGATTTTGTGCACCTGATTGGGGAGTGGTGGAGAGAAGAGGTAAGAGGGGTGAAGTGGAAGGGAGTGAGATTCCACAAAAAGCTGAAAAGGTTGAGATCCAAAATCAAGGAATGGAACAGGGAACACTTTGGGAGGATAGAGGAGCAAAAAAGTAATTTGGTGTCTAGGATTGAAGAATTAGATTCCAAAGAAGCCCAAAGGATAATGAGTGAACAAGAAAGGAATTTGAGAAGAAATTTAAAGAAGGATTTGGAAGAGGTTCTTCTGAGAGAGGAAAGTTCCTAGAGGCAAAAGTCAAGGCATAGATGGGTCAAGGAAGGGGATGGAAATACAAAATTCTTCCATGCGTTGTCTAATGGGAGGAGAAGGAAAAATTTTGTGGCCAAGTTAGAGGTAAATGGGGAGGAAGTCACAAATCAAGATGAGATAACGAGAATGTTTGTGGATCACTTTAAATCAATCTATAGAAAACCATTGAATAATAGGCCAATATTGGATGATTTGGAGTGGAATGGGTTATCTAAAGAACAAGTAAATTGGTTAGAGAGGGATTTCAGTGAAGAAGAGTTTAGATAGGTGATATTCTCAATGGATAGACGCAAAGCACCTGGCCCAAATGGCTTCACAATGGCTTTTTATCAGGACTGTTGGGATGTGGTAAAAGAAGATCTTATTGGGGTGTTTCAGGAGTTTGTAGACAAAAAAAGGGTGAGCCTTGGAGTGAATGCCACTTCCTTAGCCCTAATCCCAAAAAAGATAGATGTGAAGGACCCTAAGGAGTACAGGCCGATTAGTCTGGTTACAAGTATCTATAAAATTTTGGCTAAAGTGTTGTCATTAAGAATTCGAGTAGTACTACCCTCCATCATTAGTCAAGCACAAGGTGCCTTCATGCAGGGAAGGCAAATAACAAATCAGATCCTAATAGCAAATGAGTGTGTGGAGGACATGAGAAAGTCGGGGAATCAAGGTTTTGTATGTAAGTTAGACTTAGAGAAGGCTTATGATCTTGTTGATTGGAGTTTTTTACTAGAGGTCCTTGGGTGTTATGGTTTTGGAGATAGATGGTGCAATTGGGTAAAGGGTTGTATTAGCTCCTGTCATTATTCAGTCTTGGTGAATGGGGTGGTCAAAGATTTTTTCCCTACTTGTAGAGACCTTAGACAAGGTGACTCACTCTTCCCATTTCTTTTCACATTAGTTGCAGATGTCTTCAGTAGATTAATCTCTAAGGCAGATAGGGAAGAGGAAGTGAGTGGCTAGAAGATAGGAATGAACAATATTAGGGTAACCCACCTACAGTTTGCTGATGATATCATAATATTTTGTGAAGGGGGTGACAGACAAAAAGTGAGGAATCTCAGAGCATTAATACAACACTTTGAGGAGGTATCAAATTTGAGAATAAATCTGGAGAAGAGTTGTGTGGTAGGTGTTAACATGAATGAGGGGATTATCCAATATGTGGCTGATTGTTTAGGTTGTTCCGTCGCTACTTGGCCATTGCAGTACTTAGGTCTCCCTCTAGGGGCTAACCCAAAAGAGAGTAGCTTCTGGACCCCAGTGTTGGAAAAGTTTGAGAAAATACTAACTTCTTGGAAAAAGAACTATATCTCTATAGGGGGTCGAGTGACTTTATTGAGAGCTACCCTAGCAAACCTACCAGTCTATTTCCTCTCCATGTTTAGGATTCCTAATATGGAAGCTAAGAAGTTGGAGAGATTAATGAGAAATTTCCTTTGGGAGCCAAGGGAGGAAAAGAAAGACCACCTAATTAACTGGGAAATAGTTTGTAGAAGTAAAGAGGAAGGTGGTTTGGGACTAGGAAGGTTAACTCTCAAGAATAAAGCTCTCTTAGGAAAGTGGTTGTGGAGATGACCTAGAGAAAGGGAGAGGTTGTGGCACGAAGTGATAGCTAGCATACATGGTAGACTAGAAAATGGATGGGATGCGGGTGTATCACGTCAAGCTACGTTGGCTTCCCCGTGGAAAGCAATCCAGAGTATCCTCCCTTAGTTTCTCAACTTTGTCAGATATGATGTCAATTTTGGTACCTTTATTTTATTTTGGAAAGACATTTGGGTGGGTAATGTTGCCCTTAAGGACCAATTTCCGTCTCTCTATTCTATTTGCCTTTACAAGGAAAAAGTTCTCTCATTTTCTCCCTTCTCCTGTTTCACCCCCCTCTTTAAGTTGGGACTTTGGCTTTCGGAGAGGCTTGAGGGATGATGAACTTAACAGTGTTTCAGATCTGTTATTCCTTCTTGGCCGTGTCTTTTTGGACCCTCTTAGTTTGGATGTGAGATTATGGTCCCCTCACCCAAAAGGTTACTTTACCTGTGCTTCCTATTTTAAATTCCTTTTTCTCTTCCCAGGGACAGTGGGGCTTTCCAACCAAGGAGATTTGGCCTAAACCGGTTCCACCTAAAATTATTATTTTCTGCTGGGAGGTGTTTCATAGAAAGATTAATACCTTGGACTGCTTGTAGAGGAAAAGGCCTTCTTTGTGTTTGTCCCTTAACTGGTGTGTACTTTGCAGGGCTAGTGGTGAGGATTGCTCTCACTTACTTGTATCTTGTTCCTTTTCTAGTGCTATTTGGAGTTGGATTTTCTCTTTGTTTGGGCGCAGGTGGAATCTGACCGCAGATTTAAGTGAGCTGTTCGATCCTTCCTTTTTTGTGTGGCCTACAAAAAAAGGAAAAATAATGTGGAGATGTATTAGAGCAGCTGCCTTGTGGACAATCTAGGAAGAAAGGAATGCAAGGGTTTTTAAGGAGAAAAGAAGCTCTCAAGCTGTTGAGGAATGTATCTTAACTAGGGCCATCCATTGGTTAAGAACTATGGACTTATTTCATACATTCTCCTTTGATGATTTTTGGAGAAATTGGATAGTGGTGGCTAACAGCCATGCAAGGAGGGACAGGAAATCTGTAATGTGGATGTCTCCACCTGAAGGATGGTTAAAGCTAAATTTTGATGGAAGTAGCCAAGGAAACCCAGGCCCATCGGGGATAGGAGGGGTGCTGAGAGATAATGAAAGCAAAATATTAGCATTATTTTCAGGCCCCGTGGGAATAGGAGACTCCACTAGAGCTGAGATATTAGCGGCGGTGCAAGGTATTCAAATTGCAGAACAATTAGGAGTTCAGCACTTGGTAGTTGAAGTAGAATATTTCTGATTTAATAAATTATACTCATTCATAAAAAAAATCTTATTTCTTGGAGGAGAAAGAAACAATGTTACTTGCTATATTGTTGAAGTAGAATATCAAGTAATGGCACATGGTATTTTAGAGATGCTGTGGATTTGATCTTTGTTGGAGGAGTTGGGAACTATATATGTTAAGGCCATGATGATGTATTTGTGACAATTAGGCAGCCATAAACATAACCCATAATGTAGTATAAAATGACAAAACTTGAGCATATTGAGATTGACAAGCACTTTATCAGCGAATTGGTGACTTTTGGAGAAGTATGTCTTCTATATGTTGGCACTGATGGACTGTTGGCTTATGTATTCACTAAAGTTGTCTAAAAGACAAAGCATGGCCACTATGTAAGCAAGTTGGGGATGGTTGATCTTTATGCTTAGCTTGAGGGGGAGTGTTGAGAAGTGGGCAAGTTTATTGTTCTTTTTATCTTTTATTATACAATGATCTTATTAAGCAAAGGATTTATAAACTCCTAGGAAGTTCTCTTTAGAATTGTTTTTTTTTTCCTCTCATCTTCTTCCTTTATTATTCTATTGCAGAATCTCTTAGTTTCCTACTGGATTTGATTTATATGGATTTTATTTTGTTGATTTACAGTGTTTTTTTTTTCTCATCTTCATACTGGATTTGTTTTTTTTTTCTCATCTTCTTTCTTTACATAAATAAGGGTTCTTGCATTGATTTGGACTGAGATGGGTAAAGAATGGCACTGAACTGAACGGAATGAAAAAACAGGGTTCATGTTGGAAACGCCATATAGTTGGGATAACACTTAGATTATGATGATGGTTTACAGAAAAGAAGTTAATGCTATATAGTTTTGTCTAGGACTTGGGTGGGTTTGATATTTTTGACCAGTGATGCCAAATTGAGGGACATACATGGGCATGTGGGGTCATTCAAAGAATGGATGGAGGTTGGTTGTCATGTTGAAAGGTCCAAGGGATCTACCCCTTGAAAAGTTTGGCAGAATATTTTGGTGGATCTTCAATTAGATAAATATAAAAAATTTGCCAACAGATGATTGAGAAAATGGTTTGTGAACATGATTTGCAAATTATATAGTATGTCTATGATAGAAAGACACTCATTTATGCCTAAAGAGAACTAGTCATTCCCAAAGTGCAGTTATGCAAATAGCTACAAATTAAGTGGAATGGTTGAACAAGATTTCAGCCCATATAGGTGGGACAAGGCTTAGTTGAATTCAGTCGTATGATTTGAAAATACATGATTTTTTTTTTATTTTAACATATAAAAATATTAATATTTTTTGGAGTTCATAAAAAAATATTAATATATCTTTAGTAGCTTAGATGTTCTGAATATTGCATTTGTAAGAAAGCTTGTTGATTGAAATTGTTTTGATGGCATGTGTTGAATGCAGGGCTATCCTAAATGTTCTTTTCATATGCAGTTTGTAAATATAATTTAGTAATAAGAAATTGATAAAATTTTGTCTTTCTGTTATACATACCATTCTTTATTCCTTATTCATTCTCTTTAGAAGATCTGGAAGTGCTAAATATTGTTTTCTTGCATACAGTTGAACGGAGAATTGCAGCTACCAGGGCTATTCGTGATGTGGAGATTGAACATCTGCTAACTGGCTTGCGGTTGCTTCGCTCAAATTTTAATAAGGAACAGATGCAAACCCCTGCACTACAATTTTTCAAGGAAACTTTGCCTAATCTGTCAGTAGTAAGAAACGAAAAAGGGCAATTTGAAGTGAGATGGAAGGATAAAGATGGTCATTTATCCATTAGTCATGCTGATGATAGTAATATACATGCATCTTTTCTACATCTGATGTCCATAGCATACCCTGCTTGCACCAGTGCAATGCCAGCACTTGGTGGTTTTGAATTTTCTAGTAAATCAGGTAAATTTACTTACTAGGCTGCATAAATTTCATATCCTAGTTGTATTTTAACAGAAGCTGCATTTGATTTCTTGGCAGTGAAAACAAGCCTTGTAGGTGCTGCAAACCTGCAGATCCCTGATTTGGTATGTAACTCCACGTTTTTGTTATTGTGGCAACTTTTGAACCTCAAAAAGAGTTCCATTCTTCCCTTCTCCTCTTTCAGCTTCTTCCACTCTGATCTTTCCCTTTTCTAGGTTTTGGAGGAACCATCAGAAACGCAGATGCTTGGCTTGCAAGATGCTTTCCAAACTCCTGGAGTAAGTATATTCTTGATCAATGATCATACAATGTTTCATCCAATATTGATCTCAGTGGTGTTCCATATCTTCATGGCTTATAGGTTATACTTTGTTACTTACCTAGATATTAGTACATTTATCAATTCCGGAATCACTAGAAAAACACTGTTCATCTGATGTGCCGACCCCAACAAACGAAGTCTTTCTATTATTCTTATTATTTGAAGATAAACTATTGTACAATTATTTCAAAAAGTAACATAAATTTTCAACACTATTCAAGAATAAAAAGAAAGAGGATATAACATAAGGTGTACAAAAGCTTCTATAAAATGGGGAATCCATGTAGCTTTGGAAAAAAATTTATCATAAATGAATATAAATAAATCATAACAAAAAAATTAACAAAATTTTACTTAGATAATCTCTCTTTAGATCTTTGTTGGTTGTTGAAGTTACATTTATCTCTCTTGCTATGGCTCTTCATATGGCAAATTGGCAACATCAAACTTTCTTGAGAATATAGAACAGGAAGCTCCACCTACTTCAAAAAGTATGAATATGATGAAAAGGTGTATGAGTTCTAGAAGTGCAGAGTTTAGTGGTTTGTTGTCTTTGTGAGTTTTTGGCATATATGCATGCCATGTTTCTATTTTTCATCTCCTTTCTAATGAGGATGCCAATGATGAGGCACTTTCTTAAAGGGCCCATTCAGTGGTGCATTTTTTGAAGGAACTGGAAGGCACCAAATATGCTGGCAGGGTAACAAATGGTCACCTGGTGTACCAAGCATTTGTGGCTTTTATCAGCAGTGATACCATTAAACCAACTTAATTCTTATTGCCCCTCTAATTGCTTTAAGATAACTCTACTATTATATTACATAAATAAAATTTCTTTGTTCTGATACTGATTAAATAAGAAAAATCTTGGTAATTTTCAAATCTATCATGTAAAAATCTAAAAGAAAAATGTATTTTGATAAGTGAGCATACAGAATGAGTAACAAGAAACTATAATGAGGTATGTGGAAGCATATGGTCAAATCTTTGTAACTGCATGCTCTCCGTGGTAAGGTCAATGGACCTCGCATGCACCCTACTCTGTTCCCACCCCTTAAGTCTCTCTGCAATGTGTAATATGTAAGAGGAAAAGAGTGAGGGGGTAAATTAATTAAACCTTCACTGTGTTTTCTAACAAATGCTTTAACCTCCCGTGTACTTTGACAATCTGCAAATTTCTCCCTTGACATTTTAGAGATTTTGTTTTGATAAGTTCATTTTAGAGAAATTATACAAACAGATCTGTTAGATTGACGATAAGAACTTAACTGAAAATAATGATGATGTAAGAGGAAAAAAAATGAAGGGGTAAATTAATTAAACCTTCTCTGTGTTTTCTAACAAATGCTTTAACCTCCCCTTTATTTTGACAATCTGCAAATTTCTCCCTTGACATTTTAGAGAAATTATACAAACAGATCCGTTTGATTGACTATAAGAACTTAACCGAAAACGATGATGTCATGTTTTTGAACACTTTAAAATCCCCAGTTTGCCCATGAATGAATATTGGAGTTCTATTGACCAAATAACCCCCAAAAGGCTCTTGTCTTAATTTCTTGAAATATGTAGAAGAACCTTTTGGGGGTATTTTGTCAATGGAAACTCCAATGGTGTCATACATGGTCAAACTGGGAATTTTTAATTTTTTAAAAGGATGACATTATCATTTTCTGTTAAGTTGTTGATTTCAAACTAACTGAAGGGGTTTGTATAATTTATTGGAAAATTAAACATTTGACCCAAAATATGGAAGTTCAGTTTAGTGGACTAAAAGGTGTGCCAATTTCCTGGCAGATTCTTTGGCTAAGCAAGGGGTGGGAAGAGCTTTTCTTTTCTGGGCAGCTTTGTAATATGAAGTAAACTTTTAGGAAGGGTTAAGAAATTTTACGCCTCCCTGCCGTTATATCCTCCTTTTTAATCTTTTTATTAATAAACGTTTCTGTTATCTATCAAAAAAAAAATATTGGAAATGTCAAGGAAGAAATTTGCAGAGGTCGAAGTAGGGGGGGGGGGTTAAAGCATTTGTCAAACATAGGGGAGACTTAAGTAATTTACCCAAATGAAGGAGATAATTAAGATTTTACACTAGTAAACGAGGAACAAAAGAGGCCAAGAAGCTTTGGTCAATTGTGACTCTGCATCTGTCTGGTACTTTTCATTTTTAACAATGATTGTTGCTGTTGTTAAGTAGTTAGGTCTTATTATACTATTGGCTCATGGAGGCCTTGGTATGTGAATCAAGTATTCTGGATCCATACTTTTATTGATATTATTGTTTCTGTGTAAAGTATTTCCTTGATGCTCTTTTTGATCCTATATACCATTTAAGGTGTATGGAGTGGCTTAGTGGTTCCTAACTGTAATCACAGGTCAGCACCCAGAGGCTATCTGTTGGAATGACACCTAAAACTCGAAGATTACCAAAGAATGGTGAGATGCTTCTTTCTATCCATGGTTCACCCCTTGGAGTCTACAAGGAAGATAAGATGGGAGCAATACATGGTATGTTTCTTTTTTAAGCAAATAGATATGTTACATCAAGTGCTATTCTTGTTTCATTCTTTGAGTTTTAATATGCAGAATCAGAAGAAGGTTGACTACTTCCAACTATTTGGGTATGAACCATGATCTTGAGATTTTACAGTGTTTATCATCATGAAGGTGGTATTGGAGATCCTCACACCTTTGTACTAACATTGATGATATGTTACTTTATCAACTGCACTTCACACCTTTGGATCATTTTTAGTTATTTTAAAGCTTGTTTAGAAACATCGTTTTCTAAATTACATGAAAACTTGTCAGTTAAAAGGCTTTTATGACTTGAGGCAATAAGGTGATATGGATCTTTTGTATCATAATTCCTTGGAGTCAACAAGGAAGATGACATGGAATGCATCTATTTTAGTCAAAATAGACATGTTATATCAAATGCTATTCTTTTTTTGTTTTGTTTTGTTTTTTTGTTTTGTTTTTTTTTTTTTTTTTT